TGTGTGTGTGTGTGTGTGTGTGTGTGTGTGTGTGTGTGTGTGTGTGTATTTAATTGCACCCATGTTTAAAAGTTACAGATTTTTACCTAAAAATTCTAATGTCTGCCTTCTCTTGAAAGACGATCTGGTCACCCTAGGTCCACATTATTAAGTCACAGTGCTTGTCTGGAGCTGAGTAATGTCTGCCCCATTCAGACAGGGTACACATGACTCCACATCCAGGCTCCTTGGTGATGTACATCACTGTGCGACTAACTCGCCAGCCTACGGATTCATTCATTCGTTCCGTAAATCTGCTACGCACGTGTCTTCTCTTTCATGAGATGATTTAGGCTCATCACCACTAAATAACATGACAGCCATAAATTAGAACATCCAATGAGAGTAGATATCATTGCATTTTATTCTTTTTTTCTGAAACCTCCTGTTTCTGGGGCTTTGTAGAAGCTGAACGAGCATGATGGTTTGTGAACGTTCATTCAATAAATATTTATTGGTTGATGGCTAGAGAAAGAACAATAGTGAAGACTCACCTCTTTGTTCCTGAAGTTCTGGTGCAGCTGCTGCTTTTAGCCCTTGTATTTTCCATCAGTTGGGGATGAGTTAGATAATATTGGTTTGGTGACAAATGGAGACAATGTGGCCAAGCATTTTTTTTTTTTTTTTTTTTTTTTGCGGTACGTGGGCCTCTCACTGTTGTGGCCTCTCCCGTTGTGGAGCACAGGCTCCGGACGCGCAGGCTCAGCGGCCATGGCTCACGGGCCCAGCTGCTCCGCGGCATGTGGGATCTTCCCAGACCGGGGCACGAACCCGTGTCCCCTGCATCGGCAGGCGGACTCCCAACCACTGCGCCACCAGGGAAGCCCTGGCCAAGCATTTTTAAGTCAACTTTGAAGGATGTTTAGGGTTTGAGCATTGATTTTGGTCATTGTGACCTCATCCCAGAGTATAGAATAAATGCCTAATACCCACATTCGAATTTCCAAATTGCTGCCTTGGAAGAGTATGAAGTGTAACAAACTTTTCTTTGTCATAATCCTGAATTATCTTTGCCCATCCTGCTTTCCACAATGTGGCCTCTCCACACTGGTTTCAGAAATGAAATATAAGCAGGAAATCTTCCAATAGATGCTACTATCTATCTATAATTTGATGGTGAACTGGATTCCAAAGACTTACTTCCCAAGAATTTGGGTTACGTGGGAAGGTCGTTTTTGTTCCCCATCAGGAGTGAACATAAAGGCTCATTGTGTCATTGAAATTTTTCTTTATTGTTTCCCCCTGTTCTTCATCTATCCCCTTGGTCTAAGGTTCAACAATAAGTGGTTGAGATGGTTTTTACTGTGTGTCTAACAAGCTCACATAAAATCTAATGACATAAATAATTGTCAGCTATAACCGAGGTCTCTTGCCTCTTCTCCCCAGTGTCCGTTATAAAGGAACGGCATTTAAGCATACTCGTTTGCCCACGCACACAGGCACACGCTTATGCACTCTCTTAAAATTTCCCATAAAAACTCCACTTTTGAAATTATCCAGGATCTGCTTGAGTGGTTGGTTCCAAATTCCAGAGGCTCAAGAGGTTTATATCTTACCGACAGATCATGCTCACTCTTTGCGTTGCCCGGATATGGTATCCTAATGCTCTTCTCCTCCCTGGCCCCCAGCCCTGCCACAGCACCATCTGCATCGACATGCATTAACAGTTACTTTAAGCCCCAACAATTTGCGGATGATTGCAGGGCAGTTCGCTGATGGAGAGGGCAAAATCTGAACATCTGACGTTACTCAAGAGAAAAGACAAATCAGTAGTGGTTGCTTGAGGACTTTTTTCTTTTTAAGCTTTTAAGTATGTTACAAATTATCTAAAAAGAAGTTGTAGTATATTTTAAATTTCTTAGATCTTCTCCCTCAGTCAACAGAAGGAGGAATTTTTTTTAATCTCTCAAGAAGAAACTTACAAGGTTCTTTCATGCAATTTGGCAACATCTAACAAAATTGAAAATGCATGTACTCTTTAACCCAGTTATTCTACTTCTAGAAACTTATCCTAAAGATAAATTCCCACATAGGTACAAAGACTTAAATTAAAAGAATATTTTTTGAGCATTGCCATAGCAAAAGACTGAAAACAACGTAAATAGCCATTAATAGGAGTCAGGTTAAATAAATGATGGCGTATCCACCACTGGCACACTATACATCTGTTAAAAAGAATAAGTAAGCTAGTTATATCTTCACTAATATGGATCTCTCTTTGAGCTATTGTGATATGTGGAAAACTATGATAGTGGCAGAACTATGTGCATAACATGATCCTGGAGTTTTTTTTCAATGTAAGTCTAGTTTAATACCCATATTTGCATAGGAAATTTCTGGAAGGATGCAAAAAAACTGTTAACAGTCATTTTCTCTAGGGAGGAAACTAGAGGGAAAAGACTTGATGTAACAGACAATAGGCCACTCCACTTAACAGCAAAATTCACATTTTTTCACGTGCACATGAAACATTTACCAAAATAGACATATCCTGGGCCATAAATCATGAAGTCTCATTACATTTAAAAGGTTTCAAGGCATACAAAATATGTTCTCTGAAAACAGTGGAATTAAATCAGAAATAAATAGCAAGAAGATTTTCAGAAAATTCTCAAATATTCAGAAACAAAATAGCACACTTCTACATAACCCATGTGTGATGGTTAATTTTACGTGTCAACTGTCCAGGCTATGGGATGCCCAGACAGCTGGTTAAACATTATTTCTGGGTGTGTCTGTGAGAGTGTCTCCAGAAAACACTAGTATTTGAATCAGTAGACTGAGTAAAGGAGATGGCCCCCACCAATGAGGGCAGGCATCATTTAAATCCAATGAGGGCTCATCTTACAGAACAAAAAGGCAGAGGAAGAGTGATCTCTCTCTCTCTTTTATTAAGCTGTGACATTCATCTTTTCCTGAGACATTGGGGCTTCTAGTTCTAAGCCTTTGGACTCCAAGACTTACATCAGTGGGGGCCCCTTTCTTATCCCCCACCCCTGGATCTCGGCAAATTGTGGGACTTTTTGGCCTCTGTAACTGCATGAGTCAATTCCTATAATAACTCTCCATATATATAAATAAACACACACACACACATATATGTGTGTGTGTGTATATATACACACACACACACACACACACACACACACACACACATGTTCTGTTTCTCTGGAGAACCCTGGCTAATACACCACAAGTCAAAGGAAAAATCAAAGGTAAATTTTTTTTTTTTTTTTTTTTTTTTTTTTTAAAAGGTAAATTTAAAAGTATTTTGAACTTAATAAAAATGAAAACACAGCGTATCAAAATTTATGGAATGTCACTAACACAGTACTTAAAGGGAAATTTGTGGCACTAAATCCCTATATTAGAAAAGAAGAAAGGTTTTAAACCAAGCACCTTATCTTTCACCTTAAGAAACTAGAAAAAGAAAGGCAAACTACACCCAGAGTAAGTAGAGGACAGGAAATAACAAAGATCAGAATGGAAATCAATAAAATCTGAAAACAGAAAAACAGTAGAGAAAATCATTGAAACCAAAACTTGGTTCTTTGAGAAGACCAATAAAATTGATAATACTCTACACAAGCTGATATGGGGAAAAAAGAAAAGATATAAATTACCAATAAAATGAGAGGTGACATCACTACAGACCCTACAGATATTAGAAGGCTAACAATGCAATAGTCAACAACTTAGATGAAATGAAGAAATTCCTTGTGGGACAAAAACTTCTGAAGCTTGTTCAAGAAGAAATAGGCCTACATCTACTAAATAAACTGAATTTTTTTTTGTTAAAAATGTTCCCACAAAGAAATTGCCAGGCCTAAATGTCTTCACTGATTAATTCTACCAAACATTTAAGTCAGATATATCAGTTCTACATTAATTCTTCAGGAAAATTGAAGAGGAAGGGGTACTTCCGAACTCATTCTATGAGGAATGCATTACCCTGATGCCAAAACTAGGCAAAGACATTAAAAGAAAACAACAGACCAATATTTCTCATAAACGTAGATACAAAATTTCTAGACACAATGTTAGCAAATTAGCCCAACTGTATATTAAAGGATACTATATCATGACTAAGTGGGGTTTATCTTAATGTTGCAAAGTTGGTTTAAAATTTGAAAATTAATGTAATTCACCATATTAAGTAACTTGAAAGAAAAAAAAGAGATTATCTCAACATATGCACAGAAAAACATTTGACAAAATCTATCATTTGTTTCTGATAAAAATTCCAAATTAGGGGTAGAAAGGAACTTCCTTTATCAGAAAAAGGCATGCAGTGGACTGAATTTTTATATCCCTCCCCCCACAATTTATGTGTTGAAGACCTAATCCCCAGTGTAATGGTATTTGGAGGTGGGGGTATTTGTGAAGTAATTAGGTCATAAGGGTGGAGTCCTCAAAGTGGAATTAGTGCCCTAATAAGAAGAGGTACAAGAGAGATGATATCTCTCTGTCTCCCCACCATGTGTGGAGACAGCAAAAAGACATCCATCTGAAAACAAGAAGAGGACTCTCACCAGGAACCAAACTGGCCAGAGCCTTGATCTTGAACTTTGCAGCCTCCAGAACTGTGAGAAATAAATCTCTATTGTTTAAGCCACCCAGTCTGTGGTATTTTTTTTTTATAGCAGCCTAAACTGACTAAAATAGGACAGCTACAAAAAACCTACAGCTACCCCCCCAGGACCAGAAACAAGACAAGGATGTTGCGGCAAGTGGGCTCCTTAGTTGTGGCTCGTGGGTTCCTTAGTTTTGGCTCGCCGGCTCCTTAGTTGTGGCATGCGGACTCTTAGTTGCGGCATGCATGTGGGATCTAGTTCCCGGACCCGGGATCAAATCCAGGCCCCCTGCATTGGGAGCGCAGAGTCTTATCCACTGCACCACCAGGGAAGTCCCTACGTTTGGCTTTTTAAGAAACTCCTAAATTGTTTTCCAAAGTGGTTGTACCATTTCACATTCCCACCAGCAGGGTTGAGGGAGTTCCAGTTGCTCTGCAACCTTGCCAGCCTTTGCTATGGTCAGTCTTTATAATTATAGCCTTTCTAGGGGGTATGTAGTAGTATCTCACTGATGATTTAATTTGCATTTCTCTAATGACTAATACTCAGCATCTTAATCATGTGCTTTTTTTGCCATGCCTATATCTTCTTTGGTGAAATGTTTGTTCAAGTACTTTGCCCGTTTCTTTATTGGGTTACTTGTTTTCTTATTATTGGTTTTGAGAGTTTTAAAAAATATATTCTGGATGGTTAATTTTATGTCAACTTGACTGGGCCAAGGGAGGCCCAGATAGCTAGTAAAACATTATTTCTGGGTGTGTCTGTGAGGGGTATCTCCAGAAGAGATTAGCATTTGAATCAGTAGGCTGAGTAGAGAAGATCTGCCCTAACCAATGTGGGTGGGCATCATCCAATCCATTGAGAGCCCAAATAAAACAAAAAGGCATAGGAAGGGCAAATTCTCTCTCTTCTTGAGCTGGGACATTCATCTCCTGCCCTCAGACATTGGAACTCCCCGTTCTTGGGCCTTCTGTCTCAGACCGAATTATAATATTGGCTTTTCTGGTTCTCCAGCTTGTGCAAGGCAGATTGTGGGACTTCTTGGCCTCCATAGCCACATGAGTCAATTTTTATAATAAATCTCTATCTATATCATCTATATTTATCTGTCTATATCTACGTCTATATCCTACTGCTTCTATTTCCCTGGAGACGTCTAACTAATACAACTTACTTTATCATATATATGTTTTGCAATTATATTCTTCTGGACTGTGACTTGTCTTTTCATTCTCCTAATAGTGTCTTTTGAAGAGCAAAAGTTTTAAATTTTCATGAAGTCCAATTTATATCAAATATTTTTTCCTTTTGGATCATGATTTTAGTGTTATATATGAGAATCCTTTGCCTAACCCAAAAGCACAAAGATTTTCTCCTTTTTTCTTATATAAGTTTTATATTTAGGTCTGTGCTCTATTTTGTGTTAATTTTTGTATGTCATGTGAGGTATGTACTGAAGTACAGTTTTTTCTGGATATAGATATCCAGTCGTTTTAGCATCTTTTGTTGAGAAGACTATCCTTTATTGCTTTTGAATCTTTGTCAAAAACATTCATATACATGTGGTTTATTTCTGCACTCTCTATGCTGGTCCACGGATCTACTAATCTACTGGTCTAGTCTATCTTTATGTCAATACCATACTGTCTTGATGACTGCAGCTTTGTAATAAGTCTTAAAGTCAGGTAGTGTTAGTATTCTAATTTTGTTTTTCTATATCAGAGTTGTTAAGGCTATTCTAGGTCCTTTGTGCTTCCATATGAAGTTCAGGATCAACTTGGCAGTTTCTACAAAAAAAAAGGCCTGGGATGTTGACAGAGGCTGTGTTTGATCAGTTTGTAGAGAACTGATATCTTAACAATAGTAAGTCTTCTGACCTGTGAATGAGATACATCTCTTCATTTACTGAAGTCTTCTTTAACCTCTCCCAGCAGTGTTTTGTAGTTTTAGGGGTACAAGTATTGCACATCTTTTGTCACATTTATCCCTAAATATTTCATACTTTTCGATGCTACTGTAAATGGCATTTAAAAATATTCTATTTCCTACTGATGGTTGTTAGCATATAAAAATACACTTGGTCAACCAAATAAATATTTTTTTTAAAAAAAGGTCAAACGTAGACTTACCATATATCCTGGTAATCATGCTCTCTCATAAGAAGAAAGCTTATGTCTATACAAAGACTGATGAGTGACTGTTCATAAAAGCTTTATTTAGTCCAGCCAAAAACTAGAATCAACCCAAATGTCCATCCCCAGGTGAACAGGTGAACAAATGGTGATACATCCACACAATAGAATGGTACTCAGCAACACAAAGGAATGAACTATTGATATACATGACAACATGGATTGAATCTCAGAACAGTTATGCTGGCTGAAAGAAGCCAGACGAGTGTGTGTGTGTGTGTGTGTGTGTGTGTGTGTGTGTGCGTGCGTGCGCGTGTGTGTACACGCATACCGAGTGATGCCATTTATTTAAAACTCTAAAAAATATAAACTAATTTATAGTGAAAGAAAGCAAATCCATGGTTGCCTGGGCGGGTAGCAGGAGGAAGAGACTATAAAGGAATTACAAGGAAACGCTTGGGTGCTGGATTTGTTCATTATCTTGATTGTGGTGATGGTTTCATAGGTGTGACCATATGTCAAAACTTACCAAACTGTGTGCTCTAAGTATGTGTGGTTTATTGTATGTCAATTACACCTCCATACAGTTGTTAAAATAAAGAAGTAAAAACATTAAAAAGGGAGAAATAAAAAGAGGGAAATGACTCCAAGAAAGATTCCTATAAATTGCTCTAGCATGTGTACCTCTGACTTTGGCCTTGAATTTTGACCCTTCATTCTCAAGAATGTATATGGTCAGAAAGGGCTGCTTTTTTTGGCACCCCTAATAAATTGACTCTACATAACACTTTATTGGGACATTTTGTAGGTAGCTGGTGTTTCCTCCTCTTTTAATATTTGCCTGGATTTTAATGGGGCCAACAAGTGTTTTCTAAGCCTCCCTAGCCTTAGAACTACCTAGTGAATCAGGATAAACTTTATTTATGACTCTTAAGCATCTGTGAATTTATTTAGTGCCTGTTCCTCACCCTCCAAAAGAAAGTCTTTGCTAGTTTGATGTTTGGGAATCTCTAAGGCTGTATCCTAAAAATTTGGGGGAGTTGGAGACAGCCCAACAGTTCTGACAACTCAAAATCACATCTTTTCTTATTATGTCCTGAGTCGGCTAAGCAGTTTTATAAATATTAAACAAAAAAAAATTCAGTCCCTTGGGTTTTGGAGGGAAATATTCCTTCCAGGGTAGGAAAAAAATTAGTCCATTGCCAAGCATTTTTATACAAAAGCATTTTCCCCCCGATGATCCAAGAACTGGCAATTATGGAAGGAGAGATGGAGTCCGCAGGGTACATTTGGGAGCTAAAACGAGCAGCTGTAAGATGAGAGCAGGATGGAACGTCCTCTAAGGTTCCATGCTGGTTTACAGTTCTGTCACTCTAGTGACAAGGGCGGGCCCAAATGTTACTTCTGCCTCTACCACTAATTTGTAGGGTAACAACAGGAGTACATCATGTCACTAAGCCTCAGTTCCCTTGTTAGTTAAATAAAGATGATAAAGTCTAATAAGATGTATTTAAAACTTCTGTGCTTAAAAAACAACACAACTTGGATGCTGGCTTTGGGAACTGAGTGCTGGGAACAAGTGCTGCCCACTTGTTCATTCAGGATTATTAGACAATTGCCCAAGGGCAGGACCCTGGCAGCCTCTCAGTACACTGTGTCCGGAAACACCACCTCGTTGAGAAGCCACAGGTGCCCACCCTCGGCCCTGCACCTTCTCACTGATCCCCATGTGTATGTAGGTGTAGTCAAGCCAGAACACAATTTAAATCATTTACTGGCATCTCCTAATTGCCAGCCCTGTGCTGGACGCTTTTGCCTATATAACCTCAAGTTGACAAATTTCTTAACAAGTAAAGCTTAAATGACTGGCTTTTAGTAGAGAAAGTGGAGCAAGCCACCTAGGGATAGGAACTTAGAGAATTCTCCCCACACACGCCCCATTCACCCCAAGGGAGGGATCTCTTAAAGGTAGAAGAGTTTGATGCCCAGCTACATATATATGTATATATATATATGTTATTTTCTTCCTTCTGTTTGTCTAGGGATTCTCAGGCGTTAGGATATATAGACAGTTGTAAACACAAAACTCCGTTCACTGGAATTGTAGCTCCCCAGCTGCCCCTGCCCTCACTTCTCTCAGATCCCTGCTCGGCTGTCCCCTTATCCATGAGGCCTCCCCTATGCATGGCACAGGGAGATCAGCTCGGTGCTTTGTGACCGCCTAGAGGGGTGGGATAGGGAGGGTGGGAGGGAGGGAGACGCAAGAGGGAGGGGATATGGGGCTATAGGCATACGTGTAGCTGATTCACTTTATTGTACAGCAGAAACTAACACAACATTGTAAAGCAGTTATACTCCAATAAAGATGTAAAACAAACAAACAAAAAAAATTAGTAACCTCCCAGCACTCCTGCACTCTTAGCCGATTTGTCAATTCTCTATAACACATGTCCCCACCTGGCGTATTATATACTTACTTGTCTGTCTAATGTGTCTCTCCTCTCTCTAGAATTTAGGTGCTATGGAACCAGTGCCTGGAACCATACCTACTCAGTAAATCTTTGCTGGGAGTATGAATGATTATGAATGGGCAGTTTAAGGCACTTTCAAGAGTAATTTTGATTCTACTGATCTTTGCCTTCGCTGCTGCCTTGGGGACCTCCCGCTTTGGAGTTAGGTGGTTCTAGTGTAATAGCTCGTGGGAGGACACACTCAGCCAAGCCTCTGATATGTCTGCCCTTCCCTCTCCTACGCCAGGTGAATATAACACGCACAATGGACCTTCCACGCCAGCAAAAGAGGGAGACGCAGACAGGCCGCACCGGGCCTCTGACGGGAAGCTCCGAGGCCGGTCTAAGCGGAGCAGTGACCCCTCCCCAGCAGGCGACAATGAGATTGAGGTAACTCAGAGGCTTCTGCCTGACTTGGTGAATGTCATCTCCACACGTGGCCAGAACAGGAGGCGTCGGGCAGAGTTCTGTCTGGGGGAGAATGGCCCTGTGTGTTCACAAAGTGCAGGAACAGAGAAAAGGGCCCTTGGTGGAAAGGAGGGAAGAATTCGGTTGGCCACACGGAAGCACCGTTGACTGGCCAGGCTAGGAAAAGTGACCCTAGAGATGGTAAAGATGGGTGATTCTCAAATGTGAGCCACAACAACATCACCTGGGGGCCTGCGAAAACCCAGACGGCTGGGGCCACCCCCCAGAGTTTCCAGTTCAGTAGATCTGGGGCAGGGCCTGAGAATTCACATTTCCAACAAATTCCTAGACAATGCTATGTGCATTGGGCACCACACGTTGAGAGCCTCCAGTAAAGATGACATTGGACAGTGGACCTTCCCCACTGGGTTAGAGTGATTCTTAACCTTGGCTACGTGATAGGATCACCTGGGATGCTTTTTAAAATTCAGATGCCCAGGCCCCATCCCAGACTAATTAACTAGACATTTCAGGGAGTTCTGAAAGTTCCCCTAGTGATTCCACTATGGCTTAGATATTTATCTACCTGAAGACAGGAGGCTGGCTCAAATAAGTTTGCATCATTTCTGTAATTCTGAGTTTCTCGGTGGTTCTCCATCTGGGCTGCACATGAGAATCTCCTGGGGAATTTTGAGAAACCTTCATTCTCAAGCCCAGATCAATTAAATCAGATTCCCTGGGTGTGGGACCCAGGTGTCAGTATGTTTAAGCTCCCTAGGTGATTCCAGTGCAGCCCAGACTGAGAGCTACTGGTCTAAGGGATGCGCCCATCTTTATTATAATAAAGCAAGTGTGGAGTTATCGGTCAGGCACTGACATTTTCCCAAGCAAACAAACAAAAAAAGCACAGCATGCATGAAAGATGGGGAAGACCGCTAGAAGGGACAGAGGCAAGATGGATGCCCCCAAAACAGACAGAAGCAACTGTTACCTATCAAGGGAGAAAAATGGGCACATGCACGAGTTCGTACTTGTTTGCAAAAGGCAGTCATGTTGCTGGCTTGAGTGTGCCATGGGTGCACATGGGTAGTATTGGCAAAGCTTGAGTCACTGTCAAGATATCCAAATGCAGCATCATCACATCCCTATTGATAATCCTGTACAAATTATGTAGCAACTACAAAGTTCAGCTGGCAAACTCAGATAAGCTAAGAAATACCATTTTCATCATTTCCTTAAAATCTGTGTCGTTTTGACTCTGAGTCCCCACCCACTGGGGTGGTAGGAAATTCCATTTCATTAATGGGGCCTTTCCCCTCCCAGAATTCTATGAGAATCTCAGGGTTCAAGTAGTCTCAGAAAACAGAATCATAGCCTCTTTTGTCCATTGTGGCTTGGTGACTGCTCCCTTTTTCATTGTCAGTACCTGCAGTGGTCACTGAAAGTCCAGCTGTTCTCTGGGGTTTCCATGCCATATGTTGAGCATAAAAGTCCTTGTTGAGAGTGAAAACATTGGAGTATTAGCTGCGATCCTTCGGTTGCAAGCAACAGAAACCAATTCTGGTCACTCAAGCGAAGAAGGATCTACTGGGAGGGAACAGCATGGAGAGGAAGTGATACAACCAAGGTTAGAAAGAATAGTAACAAAGACCACGCTGGGGAATCTGGGGAACCTTCAGGGTGCCGGCCCCTTCTGGAGAGCGAGATATTTGAGATTCTAGCGCCATGTCACTTGATGTCCGATTCCAAGGAGGCAGCATCCCATTGGCCTGGCCTGGATCCTCATGCCCCTGATTGAGAGTCTCACCGAGGTAGCACACAAAGGGAAAAGAAAATCGAGATGCTCCTTCTAAGAAGGAGTTGGATGCTGGGGACCCCAGCAACAAATGGCCAATACCAAGACACTTGACATTTAGCCAGTATTCACTGGTAGGGCTGTACTAGCTAACCAGTGTCACTAGTAGGGCTGTGCTAGTCAGCCAGTATTCACTAAGAGAGCAGTAGCAGTTGTTTATGGCTGGTGTCTGTTCCGATCATCCTAGAAAGTGTTAAATATTTTGCACATCACACTCGTCCCCTACACTTGGTATACACAGCCATCTCTTCTGTGAGCTCGACTGCCCTCGGGACCTGCCAGAGAGCAAGTATTCCCACTGCTTATGGGACTCTTCTCAGTCCAGAGGATTCTGTTCTTGCTTTTCCTCTAATTCTTAAAGCCACCGCCTTCTAAAACCAAGGAGACTTGGCACAAACCCTTCAGGGGGATTAGGCCTTGGCACAAGGCTAGAAGAAAATTTACTCACTCCTGATCACGCTTGCTTTCTGCCTTCCCAGATGCCTGAGGATTTTCTACCAGCTTGAAGTTGCAGAGCTATAGAAATCCTGGAGAGCAACACGTACTTTAATATTTTTTAAAAATGTATTCAATCACCTGACGTGGTTTCTGCTCTTGGTAGGGGACAGTGGGGGTGGAGAGACATTTTTCCATTAAGCTGAGAAGGGGGTGGGGGGGCGTGGAAGGATTATGGGGTGATATTATTCTGGAAACATCTGCTTCTTGATTCCAGAGTAAGTACCACTGGGCAGGAACAGTTGAAAAGGTGTGAGCTGTGTTTCACCGCCGTGCTCAATAACAGTACAGAGGTTTTGCATGGGTCACACCTCTTAAGTCTTTGGCACCGTTGCTGATGGCTGCAGCCCACGAGAGAGAAATTAGGTAGAGAAGTGGAAAGGAGGAAAATTCTGAGTATGTATTAGTTAAAATCCCTCAACTGCAGGTGCCAGAAACCAACTTGAGCTGGCTTAAGTGAAAAAGCAGAGTTTATTTTAAGGATACAGGGATTCTCTTAGAACCCAAGAGCCAAGGGTACAGCAAGTGTCAGCAAGATATTGGAACCAGAAGGTAGGAGGGGCAAGGAGACGCATTTACACCTTCTCTCCCTATGCTCCACAGTGTAGGTGCTAGAATCCCCAAGCGGTAGTGTCTTTTCAGTGGGCATGACTCTCCTCCAGGCCCCTCACGCTACTTCTGACTAAAACCGAGTCCTGCAAAAGTGTTGGGTCGTGTTTCCATCTCTCACCCCTCTGTTCCTCTCTCTCTGCAAACTAGTCTTCCCTGTCCTTCAGATCACATTGCTACCAACAGCCACCCAAAGACAATGAATTTCTTTCCAGGTCTCAATTTTGAGTTCCCAAGGAAAGGCCTCTGACCCAGCTGGGGTTAGGGGCCCACCCCTGGCCCAAACCCTGGTGGGCTAAAGAGTTAGGGTCACGAGCAGAGTGTCCACCAGGAACAGTATACCCACTGAGAATCTAACACAGAGAGATAGAATGGGGGACTAGTGGGGAAGAGGGACAGACCCTCTTCAGAGAGGATATAGTCAGTAAATTAAGGAGTCTGCATTAAATTTGAAATTACTTGATTTTTTTAAAGAATTCTCTTACCAAAATTTCAAAGTTTAACTGATCCAGCCTAGTTAGTTCAGATGAATTAGGACTTGGCATATTTAAACCCCAGAAGCTCTCTTCAAAAACAGTGGTTTTCAAACTTTTTTTTTTACCATGACCCATAATAAGAACAATACTTATTATCATGACCCAGCATTTACATACACATAAATGTAAAAGATCAACAAATTCACAAAATAATATTCACTAAAAATTGTTTCTGAATGAATAAGTAAAAACTTATGGCTGTCTAATTATCTTAAATGAATCATTTCCATGTAAAAATGGACTTTGGCAAGGAGTTGGGCCAGTGGCGTGAATTGGGAGATGCCAAGATGGACACGAGGCAAAAAAAAAAAAAAAAAGAAATTCACAAAATAATATTCACGTCTATTAATTTTTTTGAAAACCTGTATTAATTGACCTTTTTCTTTCTAGATACTACCTTTCTCTTTACTTTTAAAGGCATTACAAATGTGTAAATACAACCACTGACCCCCAGAGAGTTTTCCAAGGTGGCCCATTCAAGATGGTAGACTGAGTAGGTGCCTTTGTTGCCCCCAACACCAGCTACATCACGCAGGCCTTTTGTTTTTAAAAATAATGATCACCAGAAAAACTTACGAAAACCAGCATATAAAAAATTGAGGCCAAGATAAATGAATAGGATAAACTATGAAAGGTAATTTAAGAAACAGAAAAGATCTTAGAAAAATTCTGATTGGTTTTCTTATAAAGATTCAAGGAGGTCTTGTATCGACGAGAAAAGAAGTGCAGGCTATTGGGAAAGGAACACTCAGAGACAAAGTAAAAGCTACTGTAAATTTTTAAATGATAGTGAGAATCAAAAGTTTCATAGAAGGGTGGGCTTCCCTGATGGCGCAGTGGTTGAGAGTCTGCCTGTCAGTGCAGGGGACACGGGTTCGAGCCCTGGTCTGGGAAGATCCCACATGCCGCGGAGCAACTGGGCCCGTGAGCCACAACTACTGAGCCTATGCGTCTGGAGCTTGTGTTCCGCAACAAGAGAGGCCGCGTCAGTGAGAGGCCCGCACACCGCGATGAAGAGTGGCCCCCGCTCGCCGCAACTAGAGAAAGCCCTCGCACAGAAACGAAGACCCAACACAGCCATAAATAAATAAATAAATAATTTTTTTTAAAAAAAGTTTCATAGAAGGGTTGGAAGAGAAAGTTAAAGAAATCTCTGAGAACATAGATCAAAAAGACCAAATTACAGAACACTGTTTTTAAAGAATAAGCAATATCAATCCAAAAGATCTAATTTGTCTATTGGGAATTCCAGAAAGATGTAACAATGGGAAAGATTGGAGGACATTATTTAAAGAAATAGGCTTGAGAAATGTTTGAGTGCTGAACAGTATGAATGAAAAAAGACAACACCTAGATATATCCTCATGGGATTTGAGGATGACAAGTATAAAGAAAAGAGCCTAAAAAAATCCAAAGAGAAAAAAAGTAAAACCTGTAAAGAGCTGAGGATCAGTGAAAGATCAGACTTCTCATTAATCATGCTTGACACAAGATAGATTCTTTCAAAGATCTAGAGGGCGTTATTTTCCAATTGGAATTCTGCACCCAGAGGAACCTTAGAGCAAAATAAAGACATGATCAGATTAGCAAAAATGCAGGAAGGTTACTTTCCATGCTCCTTTCAGAAGAAGTAACTTAAGGATGTACTCAAGCAAAACAAGGAAGAAAACCAAGAAAGAGACTTGGGATCCAGAAAACAGTGGATCTGACCCAGAAATGCAGTAAAGGGAAGTCTCAGGATGCTAGCTATGTAACAAGCCTGAAGATGATCCAGTCCACATTGGAACATTCTGTCACAGAGGAAGAACATCTTTGATACAGAGGGTGTGGCTGAATTTGAAATTCTACTGAAGGCATGTTATTGGAAACAAGAAAAGAATTAAAGCAATTAATAAGCTCCAGCAAAAACAGAAAGTTATTCCAAACAGGCGTGATTCCTATGAACAAACTGAGATATGGCATGATTTTAATCAGGATGGAGTATAAGAAAGGAGAATACACATGACCTTGGTGGTAGGAACAGTCTCCTTAAAGTGGCTCTGGAGCTATGACATTAGATACATAGAGAAGGAAGTGAAATCCTAGCACATTACTTTGCTCTGCAGTGAACAGTAATCACAAGATGTACATAAATGCTCTATACTGGTTACCAACTTTTAAAATCAACATATAGACAGAGCACAGAAGTCTTAAGTACAATTATAACACCCAATGCACAAACCAGTTTATCCACATTGACAATGCAAAAGTGAAGCTAAAGCTCAGCTCTTCAAGAGGCAAGGAGGTAGTGGGAACGGGTAGGGACACCAATGTCCATATTTTCCATATTGGGTTTGCTGTTTTAGCCAAGAGAAAATATCCAGTGCTGATGGGAATTGGAAATAGAGGGGTTCGCATATGTGAAAAATATAAAATTCTGGAGAAATGGGGGAGATTTACCATGAGCTAAACCCTCATCTTTCCCATTGCCCAGTCAAAAGATATTGTTTAAAGTTGGCAAATCAGTAAGTAAAGGTGTTATTTAGAGTTATAAAGGTAATCAGCAGAATTGCTAAAAACAGAAATGTTTAGAAGTAGCTGGGCTTACGGTGAGCAGTGAACGTAAAATGGTAGTATTTCATTTTGTCAAATGAGTTCTACGATTTTTATTGCTTTTGGACTGAACTCCTCTTTTGAGCTTTTATGTGAAAGGCAAGAACAGGCGTCTTGGTTCTGGCATCTATGGGTTGATAGGAACCCAAAAACTTGGCCATCAGAATATATTTTACACAGCTGAGGTTGAATGGGGACTCGAGGATACAAGCGTGAGTCACATGTTTTATAACTTAAAGATAATGTTTTTCAAGACATATTTTTCCTCCCAGGGAATTAATTTCTGCAGACATTAAGTCAAATGCAAGCAAGTGCATTTGTCTCCATTCTCTCCCTCTCTTTCATCACAGCGTGTGTTCGTGTGGGACTTGGATGAGACAATAATTATTTTTCACTCCTTACTCACGGGGACTTTTGCCTCCAGATACGGGAAGGTAAGAATCCATTTTGCCTCCTTTTTTTTTTTTCAACGTGACAGTCTGTCCAGCTGGTTTGTCTTGGGAATTGCGAGGGCAGTTCATAGGACGGCGTCTCCAACAAGCTGCCCCTTTGCGTCAGCCGGGCTTTGGAAGGCCTATGGAATCTTCCCTTGACATGTGAAATTTTAATTAGCTTCTCCCATTGTCTCCCATGCCTTTTCTTCCAACACATGAAACATTCAACATCCACTTGATAGGATATAGGCTTGTAGTCTTCGGCTGTCTCCCTCCTCCTAAGAGGGCTGGGAGGTGCTTCGGCCAAACCCAGTAATCCTAGCTGAAAAACGAGGTAAAGTACTTTTCTTCTTCCCTGTTGTTTATTTTAGTGTCTCCGGCAGATGAATTTAATTTTCCTTCCATTTTTCTGAGACAAGGGGGAGGCATCTTGTCAGCTCCAGCATGGATCTTAGCAACAGCTTTGCAAATGTATCACCGACAAATTATGTCGGGGAACCATCCAGTTAGAGTTCCGGGCAGATGCTGTCCGTTGACCGGTGGTCCATGCAAGAAATGTCAAAACGCCCTTAAAAATGCAAAAATGAACCCAACCACTGAAACCCAAACCCTGCCGATCCCATGGGCTTTGTATCAAACCACATGCGGGTGCTCCAGACGTCTGCCGTCTCTTCGAGGAGACAGGTAGAGGTGGCAGGGCACGGCTTTAGGGGACAGATGCACCGTCGGCTCATCCGAGGTAAGCGACCTATTGGCAGCTGCTTCCACACACGAGTGGGAACCATGAGACACACCAGCGCCTGGAAAATATTTCTGTTTCTGTTTAGAGCCCAGGAATATGATTTGACATCACCTCATGGCTTTTCCAGCTGCTCGTGTTTTTTATGAGGGTTATAACAAGCTGGATGTGTAATTAGCAAGATAGATTTATCGTCTGCCGTTATGTTGTAAAGAATATAAAAATGGTGTTGGTGGTGCAGAAATCTCTTGCCGAGGAGGAATGCCGTTAATGTGTCTAGCAGTGCCTGCGGGAAATCCGGCATGCGTTTTTGGAGTGTGCACAGCTTAGGTAAAGGATGGCAGAGTCCAGAGCTGCTGAAAGCACCAGAGCAGACTTGGCAGCTAGGGCAAAAAAGCAGGGCTTTCCCAAAGGGGCTGCAGTAGTCAGTTGCCCACCCAGGCTGGGTGTTCTATGGTTTTTAACCACCCCAATAAAGCCACCGGCCCCCCAAGAACCATTCCTTCACTCTTCTTACCCTTTGAGAAGTTCCACAGCTTCGTGCAACAATTCAGTTCCCATGGATTGCGTAGGGCTTTGTAATCTAGGCTAAGATTTTTGTGTCTATGTCTCGCTACCACTCTTTAAACCAAGTTACAGGCTCGTTCAAGACAAGGACAAAGCCCAGAGCTCTGTTCTGGGCCCCATGGCACCTGGTCCATGTCACTTATCACCAGCCAGCTCTCTCCAATCCCATCACCTAATCCCAGCCACCTTCCCCTCCAGCTGTCTGGTCTCCACTCTTGCCCTTGCCAGCCCCCTACAGAGGGGTCATCCTAAAATACAAGCCTGGTCTCTCTTCTACTGAAAAATCGTCAGTGGCTTCCCCATTGACAAACCCTAAGCCCAGCCTCCAAGGCCCTTCATGAGCTGGCTCCTGCCCTACTCTCCAGCCCTGTTTTCTCTTGCGTGTCCTGAGTTGCTTTTTGTCCTCGGAACCTGCCACCATCTCTCCCATCTCTTCCGAGTTTTTCCCAGAATCAGAGCCTGAGACCAGGAGTGAGTGCTGGTAGTTTAGTTGGGCGGTGATCCCAGGAAGCACGAGGTACAGAGTGGGGAAGTGAGGCAGGGAAGGGAAGGCAGCCAATACAGGGTACGTAGATAGCTATAGCTGCAGGTACCTGCGACTCAGAACCACCGGGGACCTCTGGGCTGCTCTGGAACACATCTCAGAATTGACTCCCCCAAGGAGCAAGGGTGCTGGGATACTTATCTACACATTCCCTTCCATCGTGGGTTGAGGGCTTTTTCTGGGGGTGTTATTTCCCTGTCCTGGCCTGTCCCATGAAAACCCTAGGGCAGGGAATCACAGGTCCTAACAGGAGGAAGCCTCTGCATGTTGAGAGGACACAGAAGAGGGGCACACTGGAAGCTTCTGCTATAATCTAGAATGTTCTAGAAAGTTCAGGTATTAGGTTAAATCATACTTATCTTTCAGTTCCCATTTCCAAGGTAGCTTCCTCCAAGAGGACTTTCCTAACCACTCCCACCCCCATTTAAATTGCATCTCTCCCCATAACTCTATTTTTCATTTATATTATAATTATGCACTTATTTTCTGTCTCCTTCTAAGCTATATGTGCCCTGAGGACAGAGACCATGAACATTTTTTATCAACCCAACTAAGCACAGTGCATGGACCAGATTGCTCAATACATATTTGTTGGGAAAATGAATCAGGATGACCCTCTAGAATGAAAGCAACATGACGACAGGCACCTTTTTTTTCTGTTTTGTTCATTGCTTTGTCCCCAGAGCATAGAACAGTGCCCCCCACCTAGTAGGCATTGAATAAATATTTGGTGAATGAAGGTAGGTAAGATAGAAAATAGTATCAAAACAAAAAATTCCTAACTAGGGGCCACCTGCCAAATTCTGCCTGCAGACATTTGTGTTTGGCCCCTAGAGTGTTCGAAAAAATGTGAATTTGTCGCCAACATTTAAAAAATCAGGAGATTGCACAGACCAAAACAATCGCAATTTCCAAGTCTTCTTGAAAAATTAGAAAACCTAGCAATCCTGAATTCCCACGTGGCAGCAATCAGCAGGGGCTGAGTAGCAGCTGCCCAGTTGGCAGGGGTGTACAGTCTCCAGCCCATCCACAGCCCCACCTGGCCTGTGTAGGGGACCCTCCTGACCCCATTGGCATCTGAGTTTCAACATCCATCCTAGAACTACAGAACCACTGAAGGTCAGAGCTGGAAGGACCTGGGAGACCATCACATCAATTAGTCTCCATGGTACAGTAGGAGAAACTGAGGCCCAGAGAGAGTGAGGTCATCCAGGAGATAACGAGAGGTAGACCTCAGGTGCACTTGCCTCGCTGGGTGTTCCCAGGATGTCCAGGGAAAACTAAGGTGAGATGCTCTTGGAGCCCCCAGGTCTCCAGTGCCATCATTATTCCTCTTCTAGAATGTTCTACTCCTCCAGCTCTGTTAAGTGAGGAATGAGGTTGGTTGGTTGGTTGGTTGGTTTTCCTAAATTGAGCCACCCTAAGAGAGACCCAAACTAACCATGGCTTAACCAAGATAGAAGTTTATTCTTCTCACCTTGTAGTCCAGGCATAAGCAGTTCAGGCTGGTAAGGCTGCTACCCAGTACCAGGGATGGAGACCCCCTTCCATCTTGTTCTTTACCATTCCTAGAGCATTGCCCTCGTTGGCAAGATGAAACGTAGCTCACCCCCGTGTCTGCATTCCAGCCAGTAAGAAGGGGAAGCAGGAAAAGGGGAGTCCACAACTCTCTTTTTCATTTTTATTTTTTTCCCTCTTTGGAGGGCCAGATCCAGAAGTTGCACAGATCGTTTCTGCTCACATGCCATTGGCTGGAATGTGATCACATGGCTACCTTCAGCTGCAAAGGAGTCTGGGAAATGTAGTCTAGTCATGTGCTCTATTAAAATTCAGGGATTCTATTATTCTGAGAGGGAGAAAGGAAGAAGGGATATTAGAGGACAGCTAGCATTTTCTAGCACAAAGTACCATTAGTAAGAGGAAGAACAGTGAAAGAGAAAATTGTTGAGGAAAAATAAACTTCGTTCTGTTCAAGACACCTAGAGGACAACTGTATTTGTGGGTCTGAAGCTCCAAAGAGAGGTCTGGGCTACAGCTATAAACTTGGAAGACAGAGGAGAGGAGAGGACGTAGAGGAGTGTGAGCCCCATTCTACAGACAGAATAACTGAGACACAGGGAGGTTATGTAGTCAGGTTCATAATGGAACTTAAATTCATGGCCTTGACTTTTGGCCCACATCTCTTTCTCTTTGTGCTCTTCCAATAGCTGCAGCCACATGGAACCCATTATTAATAGCTGGTATCAAGTGGGACTCTCAGCTTGAAGCACAGAGTGTTTAAGCTACAAAGGGAATTTATTAGATGACAGTAATTGGAAAAACCCAGAGGTAATGGGATTCAGCCTGGGCCGGATCCAGAGCTCAAGCAGTGTTCTTCGGGCTTTTGGTCTTTCTTCATCCCTCAGCTGACTTTTTCCATGTGGCAACTCCTTCTCTGGCAACTCCTTCTCAGAAATCCCAACTGAAAAAGAAGGCCTACTTCCCAAATTCCAGCACAGCTCCCAGGCTTGAATCTCATTGGCTCAAACTGGGTCAAATGCCCATCCATACATCAAACTCTGTGGCTCTGTGTAGCCAGCCTAGATCAAGAGCCTGGCATGGAGGGAGTAGAGGAGCAGGTCAGCTCCATCCCAACCAAATGGATGGAGCTGGGGAGGGATGGTACCCCAGAGAAAACTGAAGTGCTCTTTCCAGAAGATGGTGAGGATCCTGGAGTGAGGAGTGTGTCCAAAGTGGGCTCTGAAGGTCATGACCCTCTGTACGTCTACACCAAGGACTCTTTGCTCGTGGCCATTGTGTTAAGCACTGTACAGGAAGCAGAAATCGTATCAGTTGTGGTCCCAGCCGAAGGAGCGACTCACTGTTTACTTAGGGAAATAAGACCAACAGAGCTAAAATGATTAAGAAATGATTCAAAAACAGACTGTTTGACTTTTAAAACAGAAACTGGGCCCTTTTCCTGTTCCCAATCAGGGCATGTGCTGCTCAAGGCTGTCATCTCTCCACTTCCTTTCCATCTCTTCCTACCCAGTGCTCAAAACCAGAGCATCCCTTTGGTAGCTGTACCTCCCCACATCTTGTGGATCCATTAGAGGTTCCCTGGAGAGCCAGAGACGCCAGTGATTGCCGGCCGCCTCTTTCCTAACCTCT